AACGATAGTAGTCGTTTGCCAAAATTGGTTATATATCGATTTTACTCATAATCGATCGTTATCGTTTGAAAATTAACTGGATATATATCGATTATTATCATAATCGATGATAATTGGCAGGAGGGATTATAATCGATATATATCTATAGGGTTAGTAATCGATATATATCTCTATATAAATTTTGCTGATGTAGCCCGCAAAATAAATTTACTATGTTTTTTAAAAGGTCAATTTGCAATTTACTATATTTTTAATACACCAGACCTGCAATTTTTAAAATTTCAAATTTTGGCCTAGCTGTGCAGACCTCTACTTGCAAGTGATCTATATTAAACTAAACAATACTGGGCAATCTCTATACATATTGATGAAATTATTTTAGATTTCACAGTACAAAATTAAAATTTGAAAATGAAATTGTTTTTGATCTATTTTATTAAAAGATGAAAATTTTTAATACTTTTTTTGAAGAGGTGAAATTATAAAGAACATAACTACCTAAATTAGATTTGTTCTTATATATAAAAAATTTTAAATTGCTCTAATGAAGATGAAATAGGGTTTTTTTGAAAACCTATTTTGGTGGTATATATAGCAATCTCTAATTTCAAATTAATAATCAACATTATTGCTATGCTATTGGCCAAATAATATGAATATACAAATATGAATAAAAAATACTTATAAATGCAAATATATTATGATTAGGGCCATGACATATATTATATAATATCATTTTATCAGGGGGTACCCCCTCCCTCTACATCATATATGATCATATATAAAATATCTATATATAATATTATCTTTAGCTACCCCCCTAGAATATTACATAATATTTGTTACTGCTCTTACAGCAAACAATCTTTAGCAAATAATATAGTATAAACTATATACATTATCTAACTTTACATAACAGTCTATCTAAAATGATTCTTAAGAAATTTACATATACTAACATAATGACTGATCTCATAACAATTATCACAGTAATGAGCTTCTATTTTTGGAGCTAAATTTTCTTTTGTTCCAGAACTTTTACAATTCTTATCCTCAATATTGATTTTATCTGTTCTCTTTAATTTATTTAAATCTTGCTTTAAACTCAAGTTCTGCTATTTATTTAAGTTTGTTTTGTAATTATGTCTTTAAAAACACCTTTCTGAGCAGAATTTTGTAATCTTGGACGTTCTTTATACTTTGATTTTTTCAGATTTTCAATTTGGTTAACATCAACAGTCATCTATTCATTAGTATTAACCTCAGAATGGTTTTCAATAAATTTTACTATCAACCCCACAGATTCATTAAGGGCAGTATTATTTATCACCTGATTATTTTTTATCAGAGGCTTACCCTCTCTCCTCTTCTTAATATAAAAAAAAATCAGATTCTTATATATAATTTTAACTTTTTTTTACTCCCCTCCCCCTCTAAAAAATCACCTAATTTTTGTCACATTCCTAACTAATCTATTTTCCATAACAAACTTCAACCTGCATTTAGCTATACCAAAACTATGTATATATTCTTGTTTTTTAGTAATATTTGTATGAATACTAGTTTGATATGCATTAGACCCACGAATAAAAATTACTTGATTCATTTCTTCATTTTTATCACATTCTACAGCATTGCTGCCTGTAATTACTGAATAGTCAGATATTTGTATTTGATCAATATATTAGCACTTAGACATGAGCTTAATATCAAATTTGGCATTATGAGATATTTTAAAAATACAGAAAAAATACCTGCAATAGAAACCATTTGAAATGATATAAAGACAGGTACAAAGATATGTACTGTCAATTAAAAGTATAATATAATAAGGATAACTATGTTTGTAATGATCAAATAGTAAAACTTTCCAAATTTCAAGAATATGTTTATAGTTAATCATATTCATAATATTTTTAAGCAAAGCTTGTAATGCATCATATTCATCTTCGAGATATCTATTCATATATTCATAAGTATTAGAAAGCTAATAAAAAAAATATTAGTTAAATAAAATAATAACCATATTAGTTATACAATAAAAGGCTATACTGTAGTTAAATCCTTTGAAATTTCAAATAAACAAGCACAATATAAAATACTTTGTGATATTTGTTCATTTTGAACTGAGATAGACTCTAATGTTAAATAATTTTTGATAATGTCTTGAATAAACTCAAAAAAAATACTTTAAATACTTGGAAGCCCTCTAGTTGGTAATAAATTTTTATATTTTGAAAGTTATTGACACTGTACTTCACATTCGAGTCTCATTTGAATAGCTTTTTCCAAATTCAAAAGTGATGTTTTTGTATTAACTTTAGTTTTAATATGCTTGTTTGTGCTTTTCACCTGTTGGGTGCTTTGCATCTTGGCACAAAAAATCATAAACACATAAACCTTGGCCCATGAATATCAAGATTTTCAAAGTTGTTTTAAATAACTTTTACTTGCAGGATACTTAACCAATAGCTCTTTTTAACGATATTCTAATTCTGCTTTATTACAGCTATTGTAAGAGCTACCAAGCTTTCGAGGCAATTTCTTTGCAATATTTGTTTGTATATGAAATATACGATAATTATGCTTGGTAGTTAAAAAAAACTTGATTAATAGCAGAAATCATGGCGAGGTCAACATCAGTAAAATTACTTTGAGTAAATTGTCTGTCACTTTTAGAATACAATTCAATATCTATTTATATGAGCTAATAGTCTCATCTTGAATAAGTGATTGTGCTATGAGCCTTGTTAGTTAGTGATTGTCAACAATTACAAAGAGATTTAACAACATATTATATACATTAGTTTTTGCAATATTATCATTGACTACTACATCGTGGTAACACTTCCATAATTCTATTTGAATTGGTAATATCCAAAAAAGTTAAGAAAGATTATTATTAATACTATCAAACTCAATATAGACCACCTATCACTGGTCAAAATCAAAAATATAAACTAAATATCATCAAGCAATCATCTAATCGATAGCTGGCCAATAGTTTGGTGGCTGCTATAAGATTAGAAGGAAGTAAAA